GGTTCCAGGGCTGCAGAAATGGCAAGCCCAGGGAAGCACAGTGAGCCTGGGGTAGCTTATGCTCTTGGGGACATATCAGAAGTATAGAGGAACTAGCTCAAAAGATTAGCCAAATTTGGAACTATTGGAACAAAAAATAAAACATTGATTCAATTAAAATTCATGAATTACTAATGATAAGAGAGAAGGCGTGGCAAGGGGAAGGGGCTCATGTACTGGAGAGATTTCCACACCAATTCTTTACTCTGGGCTATGGACTAGTGTTCCCTCCCCTCTAAATTCATAGGTGGAAGCCTTAACCCCCAGTGTGATACAATTGTATTTGGAGATAGAGCCTAGAATGCCCTAATGCAACAGGACCGTGTCCTTATAAGAAGAGGAAGAGACACCACAAGTGTGGATACACAGAGGAAAGGCCATGTGAGGACACAGGAAGAAGGTGGCCGTCTGCAAGCCAGGGAGAGAGGCCTCACCAGAAACCAGCCTTGCGAGTGTCCAGCCTTGGACTTTCAGCCTCCAGAAGTGTGAGAAAATACATTTCTGTTGTTTAAGCCGCCCACGCTATGGTGTTCTGTTATGTCAGCCCTAGCAGACCAATACACTCTGAAAATTGGTAGTTAAAGGTAAAGAAGTAATTCTTCATCCTGACTTTTTAGGAGCAGCTATAGTCCATTCCAGCTGATACGTGAACACTTGCCCTTCTTTACAGAAGGCTGCCGTGAAATCACTGTATCAGGCAAGCAAGGATCTTCGGGGGACGCTAGAGACACTAGGAAAAGGTTTGCCAGGGGACAGGCAGGGATTTGCATTGCGCTGAAATATCACCCCAAGAAGTGACAGCCACCACCTTAGAGTTTAGACTTAGCATCCCTAAATGTGGGGCCTCCTTCCTTTAGGTAACTTCTATTGTCATGAAGTCATTCCCTCTGAAGCATTCTTGCCCAAAACTTTTAATAATTACCTCTCTGAGCTTTAGGTCTAACTTCTAGTTTCCAAGAACACAAGGAATGGAGAAACAGGTTAAACAACCCCATGAGGAGACTAGCATGCAAGACATCATACAAAAACACAAACATTAATTTTAGCAGTTTTTTTTCCTCATGGCAAAAATTAGAAACAACATAAATATCTGACAGTACAGAACTGGTGAAAAAAGTACATCCGCTTGTCTGAGGGAAGGTGGATGTACCACCAACTGCGTCTGGAGGGGCCTAGGAGACTGAGCGGAGAAATGGCTACTTCCTGGGTGGGGTCTGGGGCACCAGGAAGAGCCCAGCTCTGCAGGTCAAGCCCTGGACCTCCCCTGGCCTCTCTATCCTGCTGGGTCCTGCCCCTCAGTCCAGTCTTCCCAGGAAAAGAGACAGTGCTCCTTCTTTGCAAAAACCCCTAACAAATAAGCCATTTGGCCCACCCGGTGCCAGTAGGTGGGATTCACTGGCCAGTTCTGAGGCCTTGAAGGAAATGTCTTGTGAGTGGTTTGGCACAGGTGGGTGTGGTGACTCACCCACCCTGCCCAACTTCTGGCGTCTCAGACTCGGAGCAGCCCTGGAAGAACACACAGTGGTTCCATGACTGCCCGCTCGCTGCCCTGCCCCTCGGGAGGGAGGGGATGAAGTCACACTACACTCCAGGGCTGGCCCCACCCCAGCCCACACCTCCCTGAGTGAGCTCACTGGGCAGGGCCAGCCCCATTTGCAAGTGGACAATGTGCCCCAGCAGGAATCTCCCCCACAAAGCCTTCCTTATTAAGAAACGCTGCATCCTAGTCCACTCTGCTCCTCTGGGGGCACTTGGGCTGGTGGCAGCAGTCATGCTACTCTAGGAATCCCAGGTATGCGAGATCCCAGGAGGGCTTGTGGCCTGAAGCCCAACCAAAACCAGAGGCCATGCATGGTTCCCCTCCAGCAGGCAGGGGACTTTCCTCCCCTCAGGCCCACCAGCCCCACAGCCAGCTTCCTGACTTCTCTCTCCTCTGCAGAAGCTCCTACCCCCATCAGAGGTCCAAGGAAACCCATCTGTCCTGATGCATCAGGGAAAAAGAGGCCCTGAGAGGCAGAGCCCTGCTGGAGTGACTTCCGTGCTACTCCCCACATGCACAATTTCCAGCACCTTCCATTTTGACCCGGCTATCCTTTTCTTCCATCCCTGCCCACTTTGACAAACACCATGGGCACAGTCTTGGCCTCTTGCAACACAAAGAAGCAAAGACAAAACCACACTCAACATCATTAGACATTAAGGAAATGCAAATCAAAACCACAATAGAAGACCATTCATATCAACTAGGATAGTTACAATTTTTAAAAAAATGGAACACAAGTGTTAGTGAGGATGTGGAAAGATTGGACCTCTCATACATCGCTGGTAGGAGTATAAGATGGTGCACCACTGTGGAAACAGTACAGTGTTCTGAGACCTAACGCTAGCATAGGATCCAGGAATTCCACTGCTATAATTGTCAATAGGCACCCCAATAAATGCCTGCACATGACCATTCATAGCCACACTATTCACAACAGCCAAAAGGTGGACACAACCCAAATGTCCATCAAAGGATGAATGAATAAACAAATTGTGATATATACATACAATGGAGTATATATATTTTACTTGGCCATAAAAAGGAATGAAGTACCGATAAATGCTACAACATGGATAAATCTTGAAAACACGCTAAATAAAAGAAGCCAGACACAAAAGGTCACATATGGCATGATCCCACTCGCATGAAGCACCCAGTATAGGTAAAAGCCATAGAAACAGCAAAGCAGATTGGTGGTTGTCAGGGGCAGGCGGTAGGTGGAGGGGAGAAGGTAGAGAAGGTTGGAGGGTGGCTTCTTCACGAGCGTGGGGTTTTATTTTAGGGTGATGGAAGTGTTTTAGAATCAAATAGAGGTGGTGGTTTGTACAACATTGTGAATGTGCTAAATGGCTAAATGTCACTGATTTGTTCCCTCTAAAATGGTTAATTTTGTAATTTTGTAACTTTTACCTAAATAAGAAGATAAAGTTAACACATCTAAGAAAAAGCACAACTCATGGTGCGTTTCCAGAAGCTGCCATCCTCTGCCAGCACGTTTACAGGCACAGAACACATCTTGCTATGACCAAACGATGTGCCCCAGCTCTGCCGCATGTGATTTCAGCCCCGCAGTAAACATCCTCACACTTTTACCCTCTCATTGCGTGGAAGTTTATGGACTGTAGCTGCAGCCGCGGTTTGCTGAGCGCCGGGAAGGATTGGTGGAGGCCGAACAGGCTTCCATAACCAAGTTGAGCTTACTCCTCAGCATTTCTAACTGCTTTTGTACGTTTATTAGCACATAAAAGTAAAATACCAAGTCACAAACTTCAACGTTGAGCCATTATAAAGCCTCTTGATTATATATGAGTACTCGTAAATGTTTAAGAGTAATTCTACCTAGAAGTTTCAGCTTCATCATTTTAAACAAATAACAGCAGAAGGAAATGATGATAATCTACCCTTTGTTCTATTTAAAATGTGAATAATTAACCTTCCAGGAGGGAAAAAAAGCAGACTTTTAAGAGCAGTTCAACCCAATAAACGTCCAATTTAAAAATAGATTAGTACTGCTGGTACAGACTGCCGCACCTGATTTATCGTGGTGGCGTGGCACATGGAATCAGTCATTACTTCGGTCAAACTGTTGGAGCATGGACGCCCTTCAGCTCTGCATCAGGCACTTAAATGCTGGAATATACTGATTTGGGGAGAGGAGGAGTATGGCTGATATAAAAAGCATTAAAACATCACATTTTTGCTTTATCAAATTTTATTACCAAAAAGAATGCTACGTTACTACAGATTTCATATTCTAAAGATAAGTCTCTCCTAGGTAGAAATACTAATATTTACTCATTATTCCTTAAGGTCTATATCTAGGATTAAATAAATATACATTATCCAACTATACAAAAGGTTTTGGTCAGCAGTATCCTCATAAGAATAAAAAGTCAATGGATGTGGCTCACGCCTGTAATCCTAGCACTCTGGGAGGCTGAGGCAGAAGGATCACTTGAGCTCAGGAGTTTGAAACCAGCCTGAGCAAGACCAAGAACCCATCTCTACTAAAAATAGAAAGAAATTAGCTGGACAACTGAAAATAGAAACAAAAATTTAGTTGGGCATGGTGGCTCGTGCCTGTAGGCCCAGCTACTCAGGAGGCTGAGGCAGGAGGATTACTTGGGCCCAGGAGTTGAAGGTTGCTGTGAGATAGGCTGATGCCACGGCACTCTAGCCTAGGTGACAGAGTGAGACTTTGTCTCAAAAAAAAGTTGATGGGTCAGAGTGTTGTGCCGGTACATCATCATACAGGAAGGCAAAGCATCCCTGGGCCTCTCCAGAAGAATGTAGTTACCAAAGTGTCCCAAGAAAATTTCTGTCAAGAAATTTCACTATACAGAGACTCCAGGGTGTCACTATGCTCATTACTGCCCCAGCATAGAGGCTCCCTAATTATCTTCTTTCAAAAAGAAAGAAGAAAGAGCAGGGTAGTGGGAGAACGAGAGAGAGAGAGAGAGAGAGAGAGAGAGAGAAGAAAGGGAGAAGAAACAATGAAGAAATTAAGAGAGTAATCACGTTTCTCTGCTCCAGAAGCAGCTAACTCTGGAGACAGAATGAACCAAGCTAAACATTAACAACTGCTTCTTGTTGGCCTTTGACAGCATGGGGTGGTGACAGGAGCTTGCCCTTCAGAAACCAGCTAGGTGGGTTCAAAAACCAAGCTCTGCATTTAGAAGCTATGTGACCTTGAAGAAGTTCATTAGCCTGTCTGAGCCTTTGTTCCCTCACCCATCGATAGGAATAATCTCAGCTACCGCCCGGAGCTGTAGTTGTAAAGGAGAGGGCCCGTTGCCATGTTGCCCGGCCTGCCCGTAGCCACTCTGCCTCTCCCACGGCCTGAAGCACTAACTGCTGGAATCCAGCCTGGAAGGTCTGTGACCCTTGCTGTACCAGGAAAACCAGAAGACAGCCAAACTCCTATTATATTTTTTATTAAAAAAAATTAAATAAAATAGTGATTCGTTATATATAAAACTGAACTGGAGTCATAGTTTATGGGGAGGATGGCTCAAAAGACGGAGACAAGGACGTGGCTGCGGTGTTGTCTTTTTCTTCATATCTAGGAGGTGATTCAGATGAAAGATGTGACGAGTGTGAGGTCGCAGAGGATGAACTGGTCCCAGAGATGGTATATACAGATTCCAGACCTCTCTCCGAGGCCGTGCCCTGGCTCTCGGGAGTCGGGGTCCTGCTAAAGAGAAGAAGAGAGAACATGAAGGGGAGGGGGCAAAACAGTGGCACCTCTTTGGTACTAGGTTCTTTTTAAATGTTTAATTACACACATTTAAGAGCATATGCTAGGGCTGGGCCCGGTGGCTCACGCCTGTAATCCTAGCACTCTGGGAGGCTGAGGCGGGAGGATTGCTCGGGTCAAGAGTTCGAAACCAGCCTGAGCAAGAGCAAGACCCCGTCTCTACTATAAATAGAAAGAAACTAATTGGCCAACTAATATATATAGAAAAAATTAGCCGGGCATGGTGGCACATGCCTGTAGTCCCAGCCACTCGGGAGGCTGAGGCAGTAGGATTGCTTGAGCCCAGGAGTTTGAGGTTGCTGTGAGTTAGGCTGACGCCACGGCACTCACTCTAGCCTGGGCAACAAGGCGAGACTCTGTCTCAAAAAAAAATAAATAAATAAAAGCATATGCGAGGACCCTAGGAGTAAAAAGGTACCTCTTCCATACTCTAATCTTTATAGATTGTTTTGATTCCTCATCTCTTACTTTTCTTAGAACTGATTGTGACATTAAGACAGTCTTGCTCCTGTTGTCATCACCCTTGTGATTGAAAAGACATGGAGTACAAAGGTATAGCTGCCATCCAAAACACGCATGTGCACACGTGTGCACGCGCACACACACAGTTACTATTCTCTGCTATTTTGTCTTCTGGGAAAGCTAACGTAGGTAGACAAACTTAAGCAAACAGAAAGTGAAAACATTAAGCCAAAAGCGTGAAGGGAGACAAGAAGGCACACTGGTTAATGACGTGCGCTCACAACCCACACTGCAATTCCACTCTGCTGCCTTCCAGCTGTGTGATCCTGGGTGAGTTATTTCACCTCTGTAGGCCTCAGTTTCCTCATCTATAAAATGGGGGTGATAACAGTGCCTTCCTCCTACAGTGGTTATGAGAATAACATGAAGTAAAGCCAGAAAAGCCAGACCCCAGAACACAGAAATCACAGCAGCTGCAGCAGTTTATTTTAAATTACTAGACATTGATTTTATGGTTCGGGGAAGTTCTTCATTAGAGGAAAAACATACAAAAATTCATTATTAGAACTCTAGGAATGTCCAGCCCTAAGCTGCCCTTTCTTCAATGCGGGGCAACTCCTGCACTCACCTCCCTGGATCCATCCCTAGCTCACTACTCACTGTGAACCTTGGCAGCCACCTCTTTCCCTCTCTCATCAGACAATCTGTCCCCTTCTTTGTGGACAAAGGATCTCTACACAACTTGTTCCCTCTAGGCCCCAGGGGAAAGGCAGGTGTCCACCTGGCCCACCTGCAGGGCCCACAGCAGCTCCTTCAGGGCGGTGGGGGGAGGGAGTGCCTGACTCCCCAGGGTGTGTCTTAAACACAAAGGACAGTAAGGTGGGGCCATCCCCAACAATGGTCACACCCTCCAGGCCCCACTTCTCACTGCTCAAAAACCTGCTTCTCATTGTCTAGAAAGCAGATCTGCTGGGTCCTGCCCACCCCTCCACTCAGCCCTGTGACAACTCCCAGCAGTCCTTCCCTCCCTTCCTATACCCTGGCTCCCCATTCTGGAAAGTGCCACCCTGTTCCAGCCCTGCTGCCTAAGCATGCTGCCATCTCCAGGGTCTCTGAGCTCCTCCCTCCCTGGCACTCCCCGGGACCCCTTCCTAGCACACCTTCCCCCACCATGAGTGTCCCACAGTTCCCTGGCTCCTTGCCCTCTGGTTTCAGTAACCTCTGCAGCTCCACCTCCAGCACCTCCTCTCTCCCAAGACCCAGCCCTGCCCAGTCTGCCTCCAAGGCCCACATCCCCCTGTGCCTCCACCGCCAGCTAGCCACCACCTCCCTGCCCAAACGAGCTCATCTCCCTCCTCCCCTCAGTGGGGACCTTTCCACTGTCCCTTTTGCTCGCCTTGGAAGTCATCTTCTCCACCTCTCCCGCAATGCCATCCTCCGCTCCGACTCCTCCCACACCAGCACCCCCTGCAGTCCCAGGCTCCTGGTGCCTCAGCCTGTCCCACTGGAGACAGCCTCGCTGCCTTCTGCGTGGGGTGGGCATGGATCTTATGTTCTCTGAGGCCCAGAGAAGAACAGAATATTGAGAGGGGGCCCAGCTGGGTCAGGTCAGGGCACAGTCACCCAAGCACTGCTGTCAGAATACTGAAACCCTTCTGCACCTCCTCGCACCTCCCCGGGATCTAAAGGTAAAGCCCATGGACTCGGGGGCCTCCTGCCTAATCATGGCTTGCTAAACACTGGGCATCACCCCTGCTGGGAGCAGATAAAGATGCCTGGAGAAGGCTTCAAATTAATCCAGAATAACCACTTTTATCATGTTTAATTTATGTGCTGCCCAAAAGTTTCCTGAAAGGTATTATTAATATCAAGGCAATAGTTATGACATAACATCAGCTAAAAACATACACACACACACATGTTTGCTCTTGTGACAAAGCCTTAAAGTTAGTCTGGCCCGAATCCAAGCACAGGCCTGGAAAGGCTGAGCACGCCTACTCTTGGAGTTCACATGGAAAGTCTTACCCATGGTGAAAAATACTGTAATATGAAGGTGGATTTTCATTCGGAAGCAAACCATGAGCCCCAGGACTTCGAGTTACCGCAGCAGCCGAAGACTCAGGAAAGTAAGGTGGCGGAGGGGGTGGAAACATGATCACCGAATCACCTAAGGAAACACAACGGTTAGTTGAGCACAGGCAGGTATAAACAGAAGCAGATCGGCAAGAGCAAAAGAAACGAATTCTACATTTGGCCTATCTATAGAAAAGGTCAAAACACCTGCTGCTAACTCCAGGATTAAAAAGTGGGCCCATTAAATTTATAGAGACAGAAAAGTACATAGACTAGGTCACCAGGGGCTGGGTGGGGATGTACTGCTTAATGGGTGTGGCGTTTCTGTTTGGGATGAGGGAAAAAATTCTGGAAACTGATGGTGATGACAATTATACAATACTGTGGATGTATTCAGTGCCACCAAATTGCACATTTAAAAATGCTAGTCGTCTCTAATTCCGTGGAGTAGATACCATAAGCAAAGCTCACCCTCCCGAGTTGAAAAAATTTATGGGCACGAACTTATCACTGAAATTAAATGATGGCAGACATGTCAAAGGAATCATTGCCGGGATTTGATCCCTTTATGAATCTTGTGATAGATGAATGTGTGGAGATGCCAATTAGGGGACAAAAGAACAATATTGGAATGGTGGTAATATTGAGCAAATAGTGTCATCATGTTAGAAGCCTTGGAACGAGAGTAAATCATGGCTGTTCAGCAGAGAGTCCCTGTCCCCTCTCCAAAGGGCCTGTTTTACTACAACGCCAAAATCAGGTTGTATACATTTTCATATTAAACTTTTTGTTACATAAATGTTTGTAATAGTCAAAAATGAAATAAAATAAAAAATGGCCGATTTTATGCTACATATATCTTACCATAATTTTTTGTAAGTGGCCTATATTTCAGAGTGCAGAGTACTCCCCACCGCAGGGGGGAGGTGGGCCTCCATTTCACAGCAGGCCTGAGCCGAAGCACTTCTTTTTTTTTTTTTTTCTTTTAACATACCAAACATCTGTTTCATTTTTTTATATATATATATATATATATATCAGATGGCCAATTAATTTCTTTCTATTTATAGTAGAGACAGGGTCTCGCTCTTGCTCAGGCTGGTTTTGAACTCCTGACCTTGAGCAATCCGCCCGCCTCGGCCTCCCAGAGAGCTAGGATTACAGGCGTGAGCCACCGCGCCCGGCCATCGAAGCACTTCTGTGAAGTGTTTGCTAACAAGCTCCCTTCTCTGAGATGTCTATTATGGATAGAGCTTTTCTTATTTTCAACCCACAATTTTAATTCATTAATAGGTAGCTATGTAGTTTCAGCCTCTGAACAAATGACAATATGCCATGCTACAGCCTGCCATTGTTATCAACCAAATTTCACCCAAGCTGTACAGAGGAAGGTCAAACTCAAAGGAAAGTTTGCTTTTGTGCTGCTGTTGCCGCTATGCAGAACACATCCTGTGCTCTGAGGAGGAGAAACTAGGGACCAGGTGCAAGCTCTGACTTGTGTTCCAATTCCAACACAAACTGCCCCACACGGCTTGCCCAGAATACTGTATACGTGTGGCAGCTCCACTACTGGGGCTCTGAGGACAACCTGGCAACACCAAATGACAGTTCAGGAAAAAAGGAGGAGAGAGGCCTCATCTTTCCCGTAGGGAGGGGACTGGCTCACGCTGGTGGCACATCTGATGCCTGTGTAGGTTGGCACAAGATTCTTTAAAGCAATAGGGGTCCCATTTGCCAATTTCTAACCCAGTGTGGCCCCGAACAAGGTGGGAGACCTCCCTCAGCCTCAGCAACCACAGCTGTAAACTGCAGGCCGTGCGGTACCTGCAGCAGAGAACGGGTAGAAGGCCGAGACAGGACGATTTGTGTCCTGTGGTTAATACAGTGTGGGGCACAGAGCAAACTCTCTCAGCTCTAACACATCGGCCACCAGCCAAAGATACCTACGAAGTATGTGCCCGATGAAGACACACCCCAACTGGCAGCCAGGCCAGTGGCTCCACCCTCCACAGTGGCCTCAGTCACTTCCCCGGAGGGAATTTAGCCTTTCAGAAAATGCGTTAGCCCCATCTCTCCTTCTGCAAGGAGAATATATACATCTCACTAACCTAAACTTGAGAAAGCATAATGGTTATCTTGGGATTCTAATTTAATTTTTTAGAAGGTCTTGGGAGGTCAGAGGAATCAAGGTGGAGTGTTCACTTTAACTACACATTGTAGAATAAAGGATATGTGAAGTGAGGCTCTAGGGCAGGCCAGTCACCTTGCAAAAATAAACAAGGAAAAGCTCAGAACAACCCTGTTATCTCCAAGCCTCTCCATCCCTTGCCCAATCAGCTGGCCTCCCCTACCTTGCCACCTGCTGTCCCTGGAAAGAAGCCTCTCCCTGGGAGTTCCCTTCCCCTTGTCCTCCGGAACTTGATGTCCTCTGTGAGCTGACAGCGTACACACCTCTCAAGGGAGGGCCGCCTTGTACACCTGCTTATGGAGCCAGGATCTAGCACTGAGTGTGCCCGCAAGGAGAAGAGCATGCTCCTCAGGTTCTAAAAGCATGAGCCCTATCCCACGGTATCAAAGGAGAGAAAGACAAGGTAAGATGCCAGATTTTCACAGATTTGATGGGGCTTAAAGGGTTAAATGGATGAGATTTTCAACTCTGCAGTGCCAACTTCAGGACAAGGATGCCCAGGAACAGCACCAGCGGCTCTGTTCCCTGCCACCAGCCCAACCCCAGCCACCAGAAACCCCCCTGCTAGCAGGCCCAAAGAGCTCACCGCAAAACATTCCCATCTGAGTGGAGGAATAGGAGCATTCAGTGAATGTGTTTACTTACACCCCATTGTGTTCCCCAAAAGGGCTGAGAACATCTGTAACATTGGGTGATTCCTCTTCTCCTGCAGCAACTCCTGAGAACACTTGGTAAAGGATGAAACAGGATTGCATCCAAGTGCCCTGGGGAGGGTGCTACGCAAGGGCTGCCCTGTACAGGGGCTCACCCACCTGGGTTTGGACCCTGCTCTGCCACTTGCTAGTTGATGACCTTGGCCAAGTCATTTGCTATCTCGGTGCTCTGGTTTCTTCACACCTAACATGGAGACACTAAGACTATCTGCCTCCTTGGGTTGCTGTAGGTGTGAATGAATTTCATCTAGGTGCCCCTTTAAGAGTCTATGATAAAGCACTTAAATGGGTGTTTGGCACACGAATAGACCTTATATAAGTGTTAGAGATAATTAATATATAATTAATATTTATGTCACCACCATAAATATAGAAGTGCACAAATAAGTAAACCAGAAGCATCAACCATGGCTCAGCACAAGGAATGGCTATAAATCCATCTGCCCTTCCTTTCCAAGGTTGGGGCACGCAAGGCCAGAAGCCTGGTTAATTCCTGGCAGCCTGCAGTCAGCGACTCCTGCTGGTTCCAGCAGACAGCCGCAAACACGAGAGACATCCCACTTGTCACTCTCCCTCTCGGTGCCCTCCCTGGTCTCTGTGTTGCGGTCCTCTTAACCTAGCCTTTTAAATGCCATGGCTTCAGAGCTTCGCCCTTTCAAAAGTCAGAGATTGGAAAAAAAGTGATTTGCAAATGAGCGGTGACAGGGTTTGTCCGTGGCTGTGGGAAGCTGAGCCAAAGCTTCTGATACTGTTCTGCGGGGGGGCTGGCTCCGGGAAATCCTACTCCATCTCTTCTGCGGAACCAGGGTACCCAAAAGGAATCTCTAGGCATTCCATGGGAGGAAGAAGTGACAGGTGCTATCACATTCCATATCGGTCTATGCCACTGCTTCGAAGCTTTGCCCCAACCCTGCACCCAAGGACGAAGTCACAGGAAATAAAGGACAATGCAGAAGCAGCACTGAAGCCCCTCAAATGCCTGAAGACTGGAGGACTCGGGACAGACTCAGAATCCTGGAAGGTCAGTGCTGGAGGGATCTGCCAAATGCACTGCTCATGTTATAGGCGTATAAACTAAGGCAGGAGAGGTTAAGGACTTGCCAAGGACAGCCAGCCAGTGACAGCCAAGGACGAGAACCCAAGTGTCCCACAACTAAAAGTGCTATACGGTTTTGGTGTGAGAATAGCAGGGGAAACAGGGTCACTTAGTGGGTCCCTAAGGTGACAGAAGGCTCCAAGGCTGATCTCATGGTTCTTCTCACTTTCCTCCTAACTTGCTCTGTGACCTCAGTCAAGGTCACTACTTAATGTCCCAGTGAAGACAGAGTTGCTGGCTGGGAAATGATGAGAACAAGGATCCCTACAGGCCGCCCATCGCAGCAGCACTCTGTGTGTGTGTGTGTGTGTGTGTGTGTGTGCGCGCACACGTGTGTGAAGGAGAGGAAATGAATCTAGACCAGACCCGAGAGCAGCCCAGTGAGGCCGTGATGCAAAGCCACTGTGATAGCAGCAAGGACACGAACAACAGCCTCGCACCTACGGTGACCTGGACAGGCTCCGTGCTCTGGGTCTGTCCCTCTTCGCTTTCAGGAGCATCCTGGCCAGCATTCAGACTGTTTCTCTTCTTGACGTGGGCAACTACGAAGAAACACAGTCCCACGAGCACAGTCAAGGGCCCCATGATCTGCAGAGAAAGGAAGCCACAGATCTGGGGCTCCGCGTCGGCGGAGTCTGTGTCGTTCAGCGGCTCCTGCGCCCAATCTGCCCCGCATCCGGGGACCCAGATGCCCAGCACGCTGATGAGCATGCCGCTCGTCAAGAACAGAAACCCCAAGATGAGGCACTGTGCAAACTGGCGGCTCTCCCCACAAATGAAGGCTCGGTCAGGGTCTGCATGGTGGCCTCGCCGCCGGCCCTCTCGGAGCTGAAGTTGTGCCCGGGAACGAGCCAGGATCAGGGCCCCGAGCCCAACCGCGGCGCACGTGGGCCCCGAGACCTTCAGCACCATGCTGCAGTGTGGCAGGGCTTCGTATTGGCAGGCCTGGAACCCAAAGATGGAGAGCAGGACCCCCACACACAACAGGATGGCGCCAAAGACAAAGAAGAAGAAGATGAGCTTGCTGACAAGCCTGTCTTGCTGGTCCCCATCCGGCTCAGCAGTGGCTGCGGGAGACATGTCCAGAAGAGGCCCCTTCCCCGGGGTGGGGGGTTGGCTCTCTGTCCCTCCGAGATCTCAGCACCTCTGCAAACATAACCAAACACCAAATTACAGTGGGCACAGGTGTTCCTGGACTGCTCTGTTCTTTTGCCGAACATTTCAGAAATCACAGCAGGATGAAGTCATAGGGGACACGACTCCATGTGGCTGACACACTGTAAAACAACGAGTTGGTTTATGAGTCAGAAGAAGTGGCATTCAGAAACTCTTGAATATGTAATTGTATGAAGGTATTTATGAAGATTACTATGCATCTTGAGTATGTTTAAAAACAAAACAACAAAAGTAACTGGGTGTGGCTTTTCCTGTTCTTGCGTTGTACAAACTCACTTCCCTAGGCAAAAACACAGCGCGGAATGCAGGAAGAACCACAGGGCTTATTTCTGATTTATGGATGCCCCATGTTTCATCACAGCTGCTCTGAGCATTTCCAGGTTGGTAAATTTTTGTTCAGTAACTAACTTTCCATTTCCTGTCTTAGACTATGGCAACTTTCCATTTCATGTTTTATTCTAAGGCTATATCCACTAAAGACCCAAGTCTAGCAATTTCAATGGAATGGGAAGGTAGTTGAGGAACACAGTGGGTTTGGTGAACTTTAAATGTTAATTCTATCAAAATGTGGTTCTTGGGTTCTCAACAAGCACGCACTGGTGGCCCAGTTGCTTGGCCTTGGAAGACCCTGGAAAGTCTGGCACAGCAGGTCTAGTGGAGACCTGTCTCCAAAGTGGACAGGTACCCTAAGTCAGATGGCCTCTCACTCACCCTCCTCCACAGGGCTACCCAATCCACCAAGAGGTTTAGATTCCATTAAAAATAAGTAGCCAATAACATCACCAGTTACAAAGCACTGAACACCAACAAAACTTGACTTTGAAAGAAGAATATAACAGATTCAAATGAAAAGGCACCTTACACAAAATGACAAAAGGCCTGAACTTCAAGGGTATTATACATTCCATATACAAGCAGTTGTTAAAGATTGGTCTAGTTTACACAGAGCTAACTTTATTATCCCGTTATCTTGGTTTACTCCAGTGAATGGGATATTATATGTGGGCCCTTTAAGTAGGGGAACTCCAAAAGCCAATCCAAAGTGCACAATGCGAAGTTGTGAAGACTATTTTCACTTGCCCAAGGAAAGAAAATTTTTAAAATATTCTGAGCCACTCACATCCATGATCACATAATAGGAAATCAAAACTGAGGCTCGAAGGCCAAGACCATCTTGACAAACCAAAATCACATCAAAGGAAGGTAAGTTTAGGTAAAGAAAGCAAACAGCTAATCTTACACAAGAAAGTACTTTCCCAGGAAAAAGTATGATAGAATCAGAAGGAAGTTGGAGAAAAGAGGAAATATGGTAGGGAGATAAGCTTTCATTTTAACCATGCAAAAATTAGACTTTATGAAGATGCATTTAAGCTGAGACAAATACTGAAAGAAAGCATTGCACTATTTAAAAACAATTTTTAATCTCTTTTGCTGGTTTCAAAGATAAGGAGAGAAGGGTGATTCTCAGCTACAAAGTCCAAGCAGGAATTTCTTGTATTCCTGGTATAGTCAACTAACTTTGCAGTGAGTCACAAGGCTTTGATTGTCTCACGGCAAATTCCCAAACACCGGTAAATAGAAGCCCAAAACTGGATTTGTAGCTTCTTTTCTGTGGTCTAGTGTACTGAGCACCTGGCTTAGTGTTTATCTCTGATCCAAAATAGTGGGTGGGTAGGCTGTCTCACCCCCTTCCCCATGGATGCACTCACAAATGGATACAGAGACATCTATACCCACAGATAACTAAATCTTTTCCAAATACCAACCTAAACTTGATTTCCCCAAAGCCAAATTCCCCTCCCCAACATTCCTATCCATTTTCCAAAAGACATTTCCAAGTCAACAGCACCACCTCCCCAAGTCCAAAGCTCTGCTGAGTTTGGGAAGCGAGGCAAAGGGAGGCAAATGTCCTTTCTTTTGGAGATAGGGTCTCACTGTCGCCCATGGTAGAGTGCAGTGGCGCCATCATAGCTCACTGTAGCCTCAAACTCCTGGGCTGAGGCAATCCTCCTGAGTAGCTGGCACTACGGGCGCGCACTATCACGCCCGGCTAGTCTTTTAATTTTTGGTAGAGGCAAGGGGAGGGTCTAACTATGGTGCCCAAGCTGGCCTCGAACTCCTAGCCTCAAGCGATCCTCCCGCCTCAGCCTCTGGAAGTGCTGGGATTACAGACGTGAGGCACCGCTCCCAGCCAGCCAGTGCCTTTAATGGCAATAGATTTGTGGGTTTAGGGAACCCGGAGCTAAACCAACAGCCCCGAGTGGCTCGGCGCGCGGCTCCCGGGGCGCAGGTTCAGCGCGGGTCCTCGTTGCCTCCGCGCTGCCGCGGTGGCCGGCACCAAGCCGGGCCGGCAAAGGCAGCGCCCGGCCCGGAGCCGCTTACCTGGGGCTGGATCCTGAGCGCGCGGCGGCGCCCAGCCGGGACAGCTGCTGTGGGCGCCCGCTGGGCGCGCCGGCCGCCTCCGCACGCGGCCTCCGCTGCGCCGGCCGCCCGCACGCTCACACGGCGGTGCAGGCGCGGAGGGCGGGCCGCACCCTACTTAGAGAAGGAGGCGGTGCCGGCCGGCGCGGCGGCCAGGGCAGGGCAGGGCAGGGCTGACCGGCGGGCGCTGGCTGCCACCGAGGGCGGAGACGTGTCGGCTCGGGAGCGGAGAGCCAGGGGCGGCTTCGGGGGCCCAGGCCTGGGGACTTGGCCGCCTCCGCGCCCGTGACCATGCACGCGAGGAATCCGGGGAAAATGGGCACCGTCAACGCCTCCCTGGCCCGCAGGCCAGGATGAGAGCCAGCGAGTTGAGATTCTCCCCCTGGCTACCCGGACTGCGCGCCCCGCCGCTGGAGATCCGGGCAGCAGGGAGGGGAGCCGGCCCCTAACAGACCAGGGGCCCAGAATCCCAGAGGGTCGTGAGAAAGCGGCGGGGGAGAGTGCAAAGGAGAAAGCGCCTGGCTCCCTTCCCGGTGTGGTCGCGACCCAGGCAGACCCGGTCGCGCGTCCTGCCGGCCGCCATGCTCTTGGCCACCGCACGGTCTGGGGCAAGTACACCCAGTGGCCGTGTGGCCCTCCTGCTGCTCCGGAGACCTTGACTGAGGTCACTTGATGCAATGCCTCGCTGGGAGCTCCCCATCCAACAGGTTATGGAAACACTAAGTCACAGAAACGTGCGCTCCATTAGAATGTGAGACAAGGGTCCTCCACACCCAAGCCATTCAGACCCGAGGTCCTAGCTCTGAGACGGCTGCAGACACTCGCAAGCCCGGTTCCGGGCCAGTTGTGTCCCTTCCGCACTCACAAGTATGCACACAGCCCTCCTTTGCCATAGAACCCCCTTCCTAGTTCTCTACCGCTAATGATCTACCGGAACTAAACTGGTAACTTTCCCTGCCCTTGAACCGGGAGTTTCAGATGGGTTTGCTAATCCCTGTGCTATTTGTAACCTGCCCCGTGACACGTGACACGGATCCAGCTGTGCCACACCAGAGGTCAGCCGCTCTGTGGAAGGTGTGTCAAGGGCTCTCTGCCCAGGCACAGGGGCGCCCTGAGCCCTGGGGACTTCCCGGCTTGTGCCTCTTCTCGCTAGCTTCCGGTCCACCTAGTCTGAAACCTATCCAGCATTAAGGCCCCTGGGAGTGACCTTTGTAAAATACAAGCACTTTCCTTACCTGACAGCTAGTCATTCCCTGTGGCTCTCACTGAGAGTAAAGTACAGGTTAGTCTCAGGTCATTACCAGAGGAGGGAAGACTTGAAGGGGTCAGAGGACAGCAAAGAGGGCAGGGCGGTTGCCTGGGCTTTAGGGCTGGAGAGGTGGGGTGGGTGAGGCCCCGGTTCACAAAGGAGGAAGGCGGGACAAGTTTCCTCCGTTGGAATTTGGTGGGGCACTTGCCCGGGTGGCCAAATGTGGACTTTCTCAGAGCCAAGGTGCCCCGACCTCCGTGAACCCATCATAACTAATGACCTGGTTTATTACTAGCATTCACCACCACTTGTGCTGTGCCAGATTCAGCACTTTACAAACAGCCTGTTTGTCTCCAGCAGCTCAGAGAAGGCTGGAGCCAGAAGGGGACAGGAGATTTAGAAAAACAGTCATTTGTCGTTTGAGGAAACTGAGGCCCAAAAAATGTAAAGTCACTTCTGGAGCTGGTTGATGTGGAGCAAGGGCCTGAGCCAGGTGTCCTCACTATTCAGTGTTCCTCCGTGAGTACACCTGTCACCCAGAGGATGCGATGCTATGAACTCAGAAAGCACCTTTTTATCACGTGGCTTTGTGACGCCAGGCAAGGATCTGTAGGGATCATTATAACAATAGGCATTGTAGCAGTCTGTGTCTGGGGTGGAGCTGTCCTTCCTGGTCAAAGTGTCAAGATATACTCCTTCCGGTAAGGGCACCTGATACGTCCAGCTAAGGAGCAGATGACCAACAGTGGCGATTGCACAACAAAGGCAGGCACTGGCTTCCTAAGGACTCAGGCCCTCGCTGTAGGATTTGTCCCCTCTGACACAGGCCTGCTAACGGGTCATCGTTGTATGTGAGCAGCAGCCGAGGGCGCCCATTCCCTTTCCCTACTCATTCTTCCCTTCTCCCTCGTTTGAAACTCAATCTCTGGCCATGTCGTCTGTGGAGCTGCAAGGGGCCTGTTGACACAGCTGCCCCTCTGGTGCCACATGACTGCGGGCTTACCACCCATGACAGACTTGAATGTCCTGCACCAAGGACGATCAGATTAGCCTTCACTTGGGATCTCTGCTGCCTGGACTGTTTGTCTCTTTTGGAGCCCGTTTGACTAAATTAAACTCCTTGGAAACCAATCGTCTGTCAAGTACGAACGCCATACCCACCAGCCTTCGAGGTACTTATCTTCGTAGCAGACCTGGTCTTAGGAAAGAAGCAGGATGGCCTTGTCAGTATCTAAAACCAAGCAGTCTTTCCCAGCCTGCGTGGTAGTAAGAAAAGATAAGCCCAGACTGAATCCTTAGAAAAATAGCATCCGAACCAGATTAAAAACTGGATGAGCCTTGAGCTCAGTCAGCGACTGTAGGAGGGATAAACTGAGGGCATGCACGCATTCATACATTCAGTAAATACTGAGTGCTTACCATGTACCAATGAAACAGACAAAATCCTTTGCCCTCATGGAACTTATATTTTACAAAGGAGAGACAAAATAAAATGTGTCAATTATACAGAGTAGTAGAAGGTGATTAAGTGCCGTGCAGAACAATACGTCACAGAAGGGAACTGGCGAGTGCCGGGAGATTCCGATTTAAATAGGGGAGTTAGGGAAAGGATCTCTGGGAAGGTGATATTGTAGCAGACGCTTGAAGGGAATGCGGAAGCAAGCGTATTGATTATTAGTGTATAATAGATTGCCTCAAAACAACAAAGACGTATTATCTCCCACAGTTTCTGAGGGCCAGGAACCCGGGGGTGGCTTGGCTGGGTGCTTCTGGCTCAGGGTCTTTCAGGAGGCTGCAGTAAGCAGTTAGTTGGCCAGGGCTGCAGTCATCTGACGGCTCGACTGGGGCTGGAGGATCTGCTGCAGGGTGCCCCAGTCACATGGCTTTTGACAGGAGCCTCAGTCACCATGAGGACTCCTCCACAGAGCTGCCTGGATGTCTCATGGCACTGGCTTCCCCTCACCTGAATGATCCAAGAGAGATCACTCCCCTAAATAGGGGGACGCTACGGTGCCTTTCGTGACTAGTCTGTGGAATCCCACGCCCTCACTTCTCTTTCTTTTATTCCTTAGAATGAGTCACAAAGTCAAGGGGAAGGGATAGGCTCCACCTCATGTGGGAAAGAATGTGGAAGAGTTTGTGAATATATTTTGTGATATTTGGGGGAAGAAGGGAGGAGTGCCTTAGGCAGAGGCAACAGCAAGTGCAAAGGCCCTGGAGTGGGGGTGCGCATATTAGTGTGTTCAAAGAAGAGCAAGAGGCCAGGGTGGCTGGAGCCAGTGAGCAGGGAGGAGAGTAGGAGAGGAGGTCAGAGAGGAAAGGCTTGTGCACGGCCAAGGGCACCAGGTTATATGTGGCCTTGCAGGCCGTTATAAGCACTGTGAATGTGTGGGAAGCCTCTGAATGGTTTCTGAGCTGATATGATGTGCTCTGAGTTATTTTTAAGAAGAAATTGGCGGCTGCTGTGGAGAGAACATCTCAAGGAGGAGGGAGGGTGGAAGGGGGAAGGCCAGTTAGGAGGCTGTGATGACAGCCCAGGAAAGGTCTGTGGCTTGTGTGTGAAGGTGCCGAATGTGACGAGATTCTGGCTGTGTCTTGAAGACGGAGTCAGTGGGGGGTTCCATGGGCTAGATACGGGTTTCGAGTCCCAGGTTTGGGGCCTGAGCAGGTGGAAGGATGGCTCTGGCACTGAGCAAGCTGGGGGAACCTAGGGCTGGGATAGGGGTGAGGGGGAAGCCTCAGTGTCCAACTAGGGCGTGTTAACTTTGTCCATCAGACGTCCGCGTGGGGAAGCTGAGTAGGCAATTGACTCAGCAGGCCTGGAGTTCAGCAGTTCCGGAAGGAACACTTTCTTGTGGTCTGTCAGCAACACTGTTGCAGGATCAAGGAGGCTGGGCGCCCTCTCTGGAAGAACTTACTCCAGCTACACCAGCCTCCTGACAACCACTCCTACTGAGCGCTCCAAACACACAACCACTCGTGCAGATCTCAGACATTTCTGTGGGGCAGAGCAGCCTGGTCGGCTGGGAGGAATGGGTTTCTACCAGTGCTGGGGTTCCTGGAGAAGTGCCCTAAGGAGCATGTGTCCTTTACTCCAGCAAGACAGGTGACATGTTTCTCCTCAGGGCAAGTGGTGTGGATTGGCTTACAGAGTTCAGTGTCTCCATTTTTCAGAATTGACAAGATTGCAGAAAGAGAAGCAATCAGTCAAGTCTGCCAGCCTCTAGTTCTCTTTTCATCTCTCTCTGGTTCTGCCCCCAAATTAACCCCAACACCCAGAAGCATGATGTTTTCTAAGACCCTGCTGTTTATAGGAATTTGCTCTGCAGGGCGTGGTCCTGGGTCCATCTTTCAACAAATATTTCCAGGACTCCCAGTGACTCCTCTGAACCCACCCAGGCCCCATCCAGCTATAAAACTCAGCAGAGGGGGCTGCTGACCCCCCCGGGGCATTTTCCTCGTCCCCAACACCTACGTTGGATTTAGACCCAGGGCTCTTAGACACATGTCAGGGAGGCAATGGGTGTTGACTGACTTGGCAAGCTTGAGGGTCTAGATTGGGCCCCTTAACTGACCCCCAGCACGAAGGATAATCTTTGCAGAGTCATTCTGTGGCCTAGGAAGGCTGTTGTTTTTGCACAGTTAATAACAGCTCAGCCTGAGCCCTGCTGTAGCCTGAGCTGGGGGTGTGGAATGCAAGGAGTTGCTTTGGGAAGAGCAAGAATTTGCCTGGAGCACACAGGGCCTGAATGGGGGGGGGGGTGCCTCTGTGCTGCCGCTGAGGGAGAGAGACCCCCTTGAGGTGGCTGCAGCAGGCTAGGGACCAGCATGCTGACACTAAGAGCTCTGTGGAGACCGTGCCGGTGCTCTCCTGGCGTCTTGTGTTGCTCCGTCGCACACCCACTGCTGACTGGATCCCAAAGAATGAATTATTTCTCCTGAGCATGTAAAAAGGGGATGAATCAAACTGCGTGTAGACCCTGGCTTTGCAACTGGTTAGCTGTGTGACCTCAGACAAGCAAACCTCTTTTCTGTGCCTCAGTGTCCTCATCCATAACATGGGAATAAGCAGACCTACCTCAAAGGACGTCTTACATGCAGAGTAAATATCTGGGACATGGAGGGCCATCCATAAACGTATTTCTCCTTTTCCCTGAGCCGCCTCCTTTCAACCTTGTCCACTGGTTGGCGTGGCCTTTGGTGCAGTGGCGATGGCTCCTGTTCCTGCCCAGTTCTTGGGTCTCCTTCCCTCCCTACCACATCCTGGAGTTCGCCCACCATGGCTTCAGTCACTGAGCCAAGGATGCTTCCTGTGCTGTTCTTACTGCCCGACACGCCACTGCTTCCTCCGGGGATGTGAAGACATATGGGCTGATCTGGTACCTAAGGAGCAGGCCAGAATTAAGACCTTCAGACAGCAATATGGCAAGATGGCGGTGGGCCATGTCACTGTGGACACCATGTATGGTGGCATGAGAGGCATGAAGGGACTGGCGTATGAAACATCAGTCCCTGACCTTGATGAGGGCGTTTCCAAGGATTTAGTATCCCTGAATGCCAGAAGCTGCTGCCCAGCGCTATGGGTGGGGAAGGACCCCTGCCTAAGGGCTTATTTTGGCTGCTGGTAACTGAACAGATCCCAACAGAGGAACAGGTATGTTGGCTCTCAAAAGAGTGGGCAAGGAAGGCTGCTGTGCCTCCCATGTGGTCACCATGCTGGACAACTTTCCCCCCAGTCTACACCCCATGTCTCAGCTCAGTGCAGCCATCTCAGCCCTCTGCAGTGAAGGTAACTGTGTCCGAGCATGTGCAGTATCAACCGAGCCAAATACTGGGAGTTGATATCATATCAACTCTATAGATCTGATTGCAAAGCTACCTTGAGTTGCAGCAAAGATCGACTGGAATCTCCACCGGGGGGCAGCAGTTGGGGCCATTGACTCTAAGCTGGCCTGGTCCCACAAGTTCACCAATGTGTTAGGCTATACTGATGTGCAGTTCACTGAGCTCATGCACCTGCCCCTCACTACCCACAGTGACCATGAGGGCAGCAGTGTCGGTGCCCATACCAGCCACTTGGTGGGCTGTGCCCTTTCACACCCTTACCTGTCCTTTGCAGCAGCCATGAACAGGCTGGCAGGACTTCTACCTGGACTGGCAAATCAGGAAGTGCTTGCTTGGCTAACACAACTGCAGAAGGAAGCTGGCAAAGAGGTACCAGATGAGAAGTTACTCGACTACATCTGGAATGCACTCAACTCAGGACAGGTTGTTCCAGGCTGTGGTCATGCAGTACTAAGGAAGACTGATCCACCATACACCTGTCAGCGAGAGTTTGCTCTGAAACATCTGCCTAATGACCCCACGTTTAAGCTGGTTGCTCAACTATACATGATTATGCTCAATAACCTCTTAGAACAGGGCAAGGCCAAGAATCCTTGGCCTGATGTAGATGCTCAAAGTGGGGTGCTGCTCCAGTACTATGATGTGACAGACATGAATTACTACACAGGTGTAGTCCGGGGTGTCATGGGCCCTGTGTGTACTGGCACAGCTCCTCTGGAGCCGGCCCTAGGCTCCCCTCTAGAGAGGCCCAAGTCCATGAGCACAGATGGTCTGATGAAGTTATGGACTCTAACTCAGGGAAAACTGGAGACTGGGAGGAAAGTAAGGAAGCTTAACAAAAAAAAAAAAGTAAAAATATATATATACTTTTGTTCCAGAGGGCCTTTAAAGGCTTAAAATTAAATTGTATCTGAGGCACTGATAATATATTTGAAGTTAAAATGTAAATTACAACTTTAAAAGATGAAAACAAAAATAAATGCATTTCTAACTACTGCCCACCCAGCTACTCACCGCATCTTCCACCTGAGGCTCCTCCATGACCTTCAAGAAGGTTGAGCTAACGAATCCATGGAGATAGGGAGGAACAGGCAGAGGAGGGAGATCACGATGCTCACTGAGCAATGTGCGCTTCTGTTGGCTTCTAACGCCCAGGCTGCAGCTCATCTCCCACTCATTTCTAGGGTCCTCAAAGGTAAATCACATGATCTTGGAAACCAGCCAGTCCCAATGGTCACCTGTTGTGCTACCTTTGTTTTGCTGATGTCTGCAGCCTCCAAAGCTTCCAGAATGAGCCTTGCTGCTGCTGCTGCTGCTGTGCCCAGAGGGGCATGTGCAGGCTGGCAAGGTGACCCCCCAGCCAATCGGTGGGAGGGTTTGGGTTCTACCCGCCTCACACCTCCCGGGCCCATCTGGAGTCTCAGCCCAATCTTGACACCCTTGGTTCTGGCCCCTCCGCGTCCTGATTGCCATGATTCCAAGAAAGATTCACGTCAGCTTACAGTGCTCTGAATATATAGCGAGGTGAAATAAATATGGGAATAAATGATAAAAAGATAGAAATTGTAGGCTGGGTGTGGTGGCTCACGCCTGTCATCCTAGCACCTGGGAGGCCGAGGCGGGCGGATTGCTAGAGGTTAGGAGTTCAAAACCAGCCTGAGTGAGACCCTGTCTCTACTAAAAATAGAAAGAAATTAATTGACCAACTAAAAATATATGTACAAAAAACTAGCCGGGCACGGTGGCGCATGCCTGTAGTCCCAGCTACTCGGGAGGCTGAGGCAGAAGGATCACTTGAGCCCAGGAGATTGAGGTTGCTGTGAGCTAGGCTGATGCCACGGCACTCACTCTAGCCTGGGCAACAAAATGAGACTCTGTCTCAAAAAAATAAGAAAGGAAGGAAGGAAGGAAGGAAGGAAGGAAGGAAGGAAGGAAGGAAGGAAGGGAGGGAGAGAGAGAAATAAATTGTAAAAAGAAAGGAAAAAAGTAAGGAAAGATTGGCTGTACTTCCCATCTTCAAACAGCGTGTTGGTGATGTGCAGGGTGGGTGCAATCCTTCTGACGTCATCTGTACAGGTAACTTACCTTTTTAGGATCAGATGTGGAAACCGGTCTGAGACACTTGGAGAAGGCTTTCAAAATGGTCTGACCCAGAAACCCAGAAGGAGGCCACCGAGTGTGTGTGGGGAACATGCCACCCAGCTGGGGGCTGGTGGGCAGCGGTCTTCTCAGTGGGGCTGGCCATATCTTCACAGTCACGCACTTGAACCCTGGCTTCTCCTGAAGCCACTTCTGGCCTAAAAAATTAAGCAGTATGATTCTGAACACCTGAGAGCTGGGAGTCTTTGATAAATTAAAAGGCAGTTTGGCAGGAAGCCACCTCCTGAATGCCCCAGTTTTTAACAAAAGGCCCTTTGTGGAAGCCACAGAATGCAGGTAAGACCAGGGCTTGAGCCTCTGTGGATTCAGAAAGAAAGGGGAAAACTGCTCCTTGGTTTTTTTTCTTTTTACCCCACCTTTTAAGATGCTGCAAGGATTAAATGAGCACAGAGAGAAAGACCTGCTATAATTTTCCCTTGGATGTAATTGCAGGGGAAATATTTTCTCTAAAATAATAATAATTGTAGTCAACCCTTACATAAAGCCTGCTATATGTTTTGGGGGATTTGCAAATGTATTAACTCCTTTGCATTGTGTAACAGCCCTATGAAGTGGGCACTGCTGCAGCCCCGCTGCGCAGGTGCACAGAGCGGGTGAGCACCTCCTCCCCCGCCCTCCTCGCCCTGCCCCTGGCTTGGGCCTGGAGGTGAAGCACCCTTCTCCTCTCTGAAGTGGACCTGAGCACTCTGCAACTGCACCCTGTTCGTTCTTCCTGGAAGGTAGCTATAGCTCTTATTCAGTGTCAGCTTTGAGTCATTCAAGGGCAGGCTAACAAACTCCCATTCATCCTTTACATCTCTAATTAAATGCCATTTCCCCAGCAAGGCTCAGTCTGGCTCCCCACGATGCCTTGTTATTTTCAGAGTACCTGGTGTGTTTCATCCAGGCCACTTACCACAAGCATAGTTATTGTCTCTTTCAGACCACTTCTCCCCCTACCCTTTGCTGTTTAAACCATGTGTTACTCTCTGCCCTTCCTGTCACTCTCATCATTGGCTTCCCAGATCTCCTGTGATTTAGCTCAGGCTTGGGCACCTGGTGCTCATGTCTCTACCACTTCCAATCCTGCCTTAATCCTGCATGATGCTTTTAACCTCCACATGGAATGACTGCTATAGTTTGGATGTTTGACCCTCCAAATCTCATGTTGAAATTTGATCCCAGTGTTGGAGGTGGGGCCTAATGGGAGGCGTTAGGTCATGGGGGCAGATCTCTCATGAATAGATTAATGCCCTCCTTGAGAGGGGGTGAGTGAGTTCTTGCTCTGTTAGTTCCCATGAGAGCTGGTTGTTATAAAGAGCCCAGCACCTCCTTCCTCTCTCTCTTGCCTCCTCTCTCAACATGTGATCTCTGCCCACCCCTGCACCCCGTGGTCTTCCACAAGGGTGGAAGCAGCCTGAAGTCCTCACCAGAAATAGATGCTGGTGTTGTGCTGCTTCTGCACCCTGCAGAACCGTAAGCCACATAAACCTCTTTTCTTTATCATTTACTCTTTTATAGCAACACAAGTAGACTAAGACAGTGACCCACCCGGCGTCCAGGCCTTCTCATCTCCAAATCTGACCTCTCCCAACCTCCTGAGCTGAGACCTCCTGCCAGTGTACCTGGGGCCAGTGATTACCTGAAACAAGATGTTGCAAAGACAGGAATTGCAGCATCTCTTCCCATCTTGTTTGTCCCATTATTCCTGCCATAACTGTCCTTCACTCCCAACCTGACCCTTCACTTTCTCCAGTTGACTCTCTTTTTCTTTCTTTCCTTCTTTCTTGTGTCATTTAGATTCTATGGCCTGTCAGTTCAGTATCACTTTTTCTGATACTCTTAATTTCCAAGACTGTGTTGTTTCATCACACCATCTGGTAATACTGCCATTACCCACTTTTCTGAGCCTGTCCTCAGTAGTTGAGTGCTACTGGTGAAAGACCCAACTCTAAAACTGACTGCTATCTGTATAAATCAGCATTCACTAAACTGAAGTGGGCCTTCAACAATGCTTGGCAACCCAACCCCATTTTGCTCCTGACCTCACTTTCTACACGACTATTTTCAGCAGGTGGTCCCAAAGTCCAGTGAGTCCTTTCCTCTGTTTAGATGACACCCATGATGGCCCTGATCCTTGCCTGTCCAGCAAGGGGACAAAAACAAGGCTCAACCCTTGGCCAAGCATGCTCCACCTATCATGCCCCTGGCTTGGGGTCCCAGGCTTACAGTGCTTTAGTTTGTTCCAGGTGCTTGGTTCCTAAAGCACAATGGCTTGTAGCCCAGGTCAGGAGTCTTCAAGTCTTAACCTCCCACTGTGCCAAAGCTGGTTCTCCCTTCACTATGACCTTGCACTGACATTGGACCAAGGTCAGCATTCTAGGCTCACTTCACTTGTGATGAGTTTGTTCTTGAGGGCCTTAAATATTTCTTGCTAGAGGCCAAAATCAGAGCCATCTCCATGTATAAGCAAGGTTTAAAATATGGGCAAATTTTTTTTGTAGTGGGCCAGAGAGTAAGTATTTTAGGCCCTGCAGATCTTTCGGTCATTTGGTCTCTTATGACAACTACTCAACTCTGCTGTCTTAGCTGGAAAGCAGCCTTAAACATAGACAATGTATCGACAAAGAAGCAAGGCTATGATCCAATAAAACTTTACTTAAAGACAGTAAAATTTTAATCTCATACAATGTTTACATGTCACAAAATATTCTTCTTTTAACTTTTTTCAATCACTTAAAGTGTAAAGTCATTCTTAGTTCACTGGCCATATAAAAACAGGAGGCAGCCAGATTTGGCCACTGGGCTATAGTTTACTTGCTCTTGCACTAAGTCCTTGAACTTTAAAAGGGGAATAGTATGGATCTGAAAAGTGATGAAGTAGAAAGTGCTATGAATCTACATAATAGACCAGCAGAATCTGTTTTGTGTAACTATTTTAGAATTGAAGGCTTAAAACTTCCAGTGGAAGGGTTGGACAATAAATTGCAGTTCATTTCAGTCAATTTTAGCTTTTAGCACAGTAGCGGTTACCCATCTACCACCCACAGCCTGTGTCAGGCAGCTATACATGTCTTCCTGGAGAGCTTGCGGGAGCCAAGGTGGGCAGAAAAGCCTCCGTCCTCCAAATATCAAGGGTCTGTGCCATGAGCACTGATTGCTGCTTCCGATAATAGAGTTGCAGAGAAAGAGGCAGGTGGCCACTGTTGTTGCACCTCCTCCCCATTTAAAGGGCTGATGCCCTCTTTTTCCCTCTTCATTTTTCTCTTTCTCCTCTTTTGTGAGCCAGACATTAAAGACTAAGACACTCAAAAACAACTGTATCTATGGGGAAAATGGATGCATGTCCAGGGAAAGACTCAGAAAAGCCCTGAGAAGACCTTAAGTCTACACCTGAGTCTGATCTTTGGCACAGAGACAGCCATCAACAATAAAAAAAAATAATAATAAAAAAAAAAATAAATAAAAGCCAAAAAATCCTAGGGAAGGAAAAAAATCTGATTTCCAGAGTTGATTTGTTCTGTAAAATTTGGATTCAGTCAAAAGGCTGCACTCAAGGACCCAGAAAGCCACATATGGCTCCAAGGCTATAGGTTCCCTAGTCCATAAAGGAAAAAAATTTAGGAAACTTACTGAAAAAGATCTGCTGGCAGATTATAGTAGACAAAAGCAAAATAAATTTGTGTAAAGATGCTGAAAGAATTAAAGAAAAACATGGGGAAAGTCAAGAAAACAATGTATGGACAAAATATAAATATTAATAAAGAGAAAACCTAAAAGGAAACCAAAAAGAAATTCTGGGCCTAAAAAGTACAATAAATAAAATGAAAAATTCGCTAGAGGGATTCAAGGCCAGATTTGAGCAGGCAAAAGAAAGGATCACTGAACTTAAAGATAGGACAATGGAAATTATAAAGTCTGAGGGACAGAAAGTAAAAAGATTAAAGAATTATGAACAGAACCTATAGGATCTGTGGGACACCATCAAGTAGACCAGCATACACACTGTGGGAGTCTCAGGAGAAAAGAGAAAGGGACAGTGATAATATTTGAAGAAATAATGTCTGAAAACTTCCCAAATTTATTGAAAGATATGCATTTAAACATCCAAGAAGCTTAATGAACTGCAAGTCAGATGAACTCAAAAAGACCCACACTAAGACACATAATCAAACTTTTGAAAGACAAAGGGAAAATCTTGAAAGCAGCAAAAGAAGTGACTAATCACATACAGGTGATCCTTGATAATATTATCAGCAGATTTCTAATCAGAAACTGGAGGTCAAAAGGCAGTGGGCCAATATATTCAAAGTACTAAAGAAAAAAACTATCACCTAAGAGCCCATATCCAGCAAAACTGTCCTTCAAAAATGAAGGAGAAATTAAGACATTCCCAGATAAACAAAGCTGAGGGAGCTTATTATCACTAGACTTGTCCTGCAAAAAATACGTCAAGGTGAAATGAAAGGGTACTAGACAGTAACTTGAAGCCATTTAAAGAAATACGTATCTCAACAAAAGTAAATACATGGGCAATTATAAAAGCTAGTAGTGTTATAACAATAGTTGTTACATTCACTTTTTATATTCTACATGATTCAAGAGACTAATACATTTTTAAAGCAATCACGTTTTATTTTAACTTTTGTTTATAAATTCACATTTTGTTTTCTAGATCATTTAGGAGATTAATGCATTTAAAAGAATTATTATATTTATGGTTTTGCATACACAATATATAAAGATGTGATTTGTTACAAAAACTGAAAGGGGTGGAGATAGAGCAGAATTTTTGTGTATTATTGAAGTTAAACTCATATAAATTCAAATTAGAGTGTTATAACTTTAGGATATTAAATGCAATCCCCATAGTAACCACAAAGAAAATAGTTATAGAATATACACTAGAGGAAATGAGAAAGGAATTTAAACTGTTCTGTTAAGGAAAACAACTAAGCACAAAAGGTGGTAGTACTGCAGGAAATGAGGGACAAAAAACCTATAAGGCATATAGAAAAATAGGAAAATGACAGAAGTCCCTCCTTATCAATAATTACTTTAAATGTAAATGGACTAAACTCTCTAATCAAAGACAGAGATTGGCAGAATAGATTTTTTAAAAACATGATCCAACGTCTACAAGAGACTCACTTTATATCCAAAGACACAAATGCATTAAAAGTAAAAGGATGCAGTGAGAGGGGGTGGGAGTGAGGGATGAAAAATTACTTAATGGGTATAAAGTACACTATTTGGATGATGATTACACTAAAAGTCCAAACTTGACCACTATACACTATATCCATGTAACAAAAATATAGTTATATCCCCTTTTAATCTATTTTTAAAAGTGTTTAAAATAGCATAAAGGAAAAAAAAGTAAAAGGATTGAAAAAGATATTCCATGCAAATCAGATGATCTTTACTGAAAGCTTTTCCTCTAATATCAGGAATAAGAAAGATACCTGCTTTCACCCCTTCTTTGTAACATAGCACTGGAAGTTCTAACCAGAGCATCTAGGCAAGGGAAAAAAAGACATCCAAATTAGAAAGGAAGAAGTAAAATTCTCTATGTTTGCAGATTATAGGGTCTTATATATGTAAATTCTAAAGATTACACACACACACACACGTGCGCGCACAACTGTTAGAACTAATAAATGAATTCAGCAAAGGAGCAGGATCCAAAGTCAACACATAAAAATCAGATGCAGGGCTGGGCACAGTGGCTCAATCCTGGAATCCTAGCACTCTGGGAGGCCAAGGCGGATGGATAGCTCAAGGTCAGGAGATTGAAACCAGCCTGAGCAAGAGCGAGACCCTGTCTCTACTAAAAATAGAAAGAAATTAATTGGCCAACTAAAAATGTATAGAAAAACTTAGCTGGGCATGGTGGTGCATGCCTGTAGTCCCAGCTACTTGGGAGGTTGAGGCAGAAGAATTGCTTGAGCCCAGGAGTTTGAGGTTGCTGTGAGCTGGGCTGACACCATGGCACTCTAGCCCGGGCAACAAAGTGAGACTCACTCTGTCTCAAGAAAAAAAGAAAGAAAGAAAAAATAATTCAGTTGCATTTCCATACACAGAGAATGAATAATTTGAAAAGGAAAATATGAAAACAATTCTATTTACAATTGCATTGAAAAGAATAAAATACTTAGAAAGTAACTTAACCAAGAAGGTAAAAGACTTGTA